ATATATATATATATATATCGCCGCCTCTCTGCCGTGGCTTCTTTGCGCGGACGGGAAGCGCATTCGCAACCCCGTCTCTCCGGCCGCTTTTTTCACTTTCACAATTTAAAATGAGCATTGCGAAGGTGGGCGTCTTGCCCCCGTCTCTCTCTCTGGCTCCTTTTTCTGTTCCCCACCGCAGTGAGAGGAGGCGAGGGAGTGTGGAGGTGAGTGGACCCAACGCTCCCCGGTTCCCGCCTTACCGCAACGTCAGCAGACTATAAACGATGGCTCCTGCGCGCTCGCACACACAACAGCTTCACAGCTGCTGCGCCGCCGCTGTTCTCGTTCCGCACATCACTCGCACTCACCACTGGTGTTTTGAGCTTTTCCACCGCTTCCCGTACGCCACTTCCGCTGACTACAAAAAAAGGCATATATGTGTATATATATATATGTACCGTCCTAATGGCGATGCACTCAAGCAAATATTCCCCGCACGCATTACGGAATAATAATAATATTATCTCCTGTTTATTTCTCTTCTCTCTGTGTTTCTTTTCTTGTTTTCGTTCACTTCCGTTCATATTGGAATGTCACACACCGAAGATACGCATTTATTTTTCATATTTGTTGTTGTTGTGGGGGATTCGTTCCTCCTTTTCCCTCGCAGTCTCCACCCCTCCATCATCACTTGCCCCCCTTTCCGCCTCACAGATGCACACACACACACACACTCTCCCTCTCTCTCACCTTCTCCACCTCAGTCCCACGGGACTATCGTGGCGCTCAATATGTTTGTGTGCGGGGGCCTCCTACGGTACCGCGGCGTTGTTGTTCGTGCCGTTCCTGTCGGTGTTCTGCAGTGCGGCGTAGAGCTCCGGCGCGGAGTGCTGCAGCCCCGCTGGCACCTCCGCGTAGCAGACGAAGAACGTCGTCACCGCGCTCTCCACTGCAGTGAAAAAGAGCAGGTGCACCAGCAGCGACACGATGAAGGCGAGCACGCCAAAGATAACGCTACTCATCACCAGCCCAACCACAACACCGATGAGTGCAGACACGCCAAGTGAGAGTACGCTTAGAGTGGAGCCGATGAGTGCGTCATTGAAGTAGGCGGCGAAGAAGCACTGCTTGCACAGCTGCCACGTGCGCTTCGCAGCCTCGATGTAGCCGCATCCATACACCGCAACGTGCACAAAGGCATATGTGTTGAAGTACTCCACCAGCCTCTCCAAGCACGAGAGGATGCAGATGGTGATACAGCGAATGAATTCATTTTGGTTCTCGCGGGCGCTTTCCATCAGCCAGCGCAGCAGGCGAATGAACGCGACAATGAGTGAGCCAAAGCATACAGAGCCAAAGCTGGTCGTCGTGGCGCGCTTGAACGATGCAGCCGTCGGATTCTTCGGCATACGTCCCTCACCGGCGAAGTACCACGTGGCCGTCACACCCGCCGTTGTCACGTGCATGATGTTGGGTACCACCTGTGCCACCCAGAAGAAAATCAGCATGAACAACGTGATCAGCAGACCATCTCCCGCACCCCCGTTATCCTGGTTGACGCGATCCACCGGGGGCAACGCCATGGCGGACCAAAAGAACATGTACACAAGGCATACCACACTCAGCAGAAAGTTAAACATAAACACAGCCTTGTACCGCATCAGCACGTCGGAGGCAGCCTTAAGCAGCTCTGCTGAGAACGGAATGCGGTCCCGTACAAAATACAACCAGAGGGCCTGCAGCACGCACATGAAAAGAAGAAGAACCCCCGCAAAAACGACGCCAGAAATGAAAGCTAGCACAGCAGCGACCAAAGCTAGCACCACTGTGAGGACGTTCGCAATGAAAATAAGTTGCCGTGGGAAGTAGGCCAACAGCAGAAGGGATCCACACGCCCCAGCGACGGAGATAACGAATATGGTAAGCAGCACCGTAATAGTTGTCATGCTTATCTCATTGGTGGACTTCGGGGTGGATCCGCTATCCGAGTTGGGAAGCGACACCGGCGTGTATGTTGCCATATTCACGCTGCCCCATACCACTGTCATGATAATGGCGGCGATGAAGAGCACCGCGGCCCAGACGTCCTGGCACCCCTGCACCACAAAGCGGCTCAGTCGTGGGTTACCAGGCGCATCCTCGGGGTACAGCGGTACACCATTCACTGCATCGCTTGGCCAGCTACCACCGCCGTGATTGTAAATTTCCGCCTGAGGTATACTCTCAATATCGTAGGCCTTGTACTTGGATGACTTTAGCCCTTGATCCATATTCATGGCCGCTGGGCTTTCTGTTGTTGTCACCGTGTTTTGCTTCCTTCTTTCACCTGGCTTACCGCGGAGATCAACTGATGTCTGATAGTGCTTTGTGAGTGTGTGCACGGATGGATCTGTGGGAGAAAAAAAAACAGTTCCCAAAGATCTAAGGACACTATATAACACAAAGGCAGAGGATGGGAAAGATAGAAGGGGGGGGGGGGNGGGGGGGGGGGGTAATGCAGGTGTATATATGCTCATCGGCTTATCACCGCCCAGTTGTGGGGCTAGCCCACCCAGATACGTTCCGTGTCTTGTTCAGTTTCCCACATCTTCACACCACGACAGCTCCTCCGCCCCACAGGTCGCGTCGCACTGCGCAGGCGCCTCAGCCGCCGTTGTTGTCTCCTCGCGTCCCCGCTTTCGCCCTGATGCGGCTGGCGAAACTTGCGCCACCCACCGCTTGGCCTCCGTACCACATGTCGTTGCTTTCTTCGGTGCCACCACCGCCACCGGACACGCGGTATAGACAAAACCGGCAGCCCGACGCCGCCGCTGTACGGACGCGCAGAACGCTTTCGCCTCGCCATAGTAGTTGACCTGCGGGTGCCCCAGCATGAAACCAGCGAGACTAAAGATGTCCTTCAAGGAGCGGGTCGCAAGTAACGCGGCAGAAACTGTTGCGCGTGCGTTTCCTTCTTGTTCCACTTTTTCCTCTTCCTTTGATTCAGTTATGGAAAAAGACACCACAACGCGACTGTGTTGCAGAGTCTCTACCAATCCACCGTAGGCGCAGCAAAGCGGCAGTTGCAACGGCGAAAGCACATGCCTGGCCAATTGCCGGAACTGCTGCTGCAGTCGTGCGAGCCCGCGTGGTGTAGCCGTCAGTGGCAGCCAGGTATTGTAGTAGACAACAGCACATGTCCGTCCTTTCGCCACATGCTTTGCCCGGAGTGGGCTGAACACAACGGGGTCCACAAGGTTGCGACCGCCCTCACCAAAACAGCACGTCATATCGAGGAAGAGACTCTGATGAGGCAGGAGGAAGCGCGTTAGCATTGGTGCCTGCTGCTGATGGTCCCCCCACAGCAAGGCAACCTCACGCAAGGAGAGCGACAACGCGTCTGCCTGCCGCAGCGGTGAACGGTGCCGGTCAAGTTGCCAGTTGGCGAGCGTGGATAAGGCAGCGGCGTCACGTGGCTCAATGGCCGCCACAACCCAAATGTCCATTGCGATCCCCAACTCGCGCTGCAACCAAGTTCGAAGCCGAGCTCGATCAGCACACGCCTGGCGCAGCTTGGCCTCCGAAGCCTCCCTCACCCGGCTGGACACTGACGCGCCTGAGGACAAAGAGGATACTGCCTTTGTTGGATCAACGGGAACAAGAATGGCTGTAACGGCAGGGGCAACGGCACGGACACCAGCAAAGGCGAGCATCGCTACTTTTAACCGCTCCACCCGCGCAGCCGTGTCGGGGATGTCCTCGTACACAACCGTCTCCATGCTATCAGGGCGTGGGGCGAAGCTTTTTTTTTTGGTTTGGTTTGAAGCAAACAAGACGAGAGAGTAATCACCGACACGATTCAAGGGATAGAGTGGAAGACCAAAAAAAAAAAATACGCATGAGAATATTCGGCATATCGTCTCGGCGTTTTCCTTCTTGGCTCAGTTTGGCTTTTGGAGTTTTTTTGTCTCAAAGAGATAATTGCTCCTACGAAGTACGTACGTAGGGTGGTGTTCCCCCGCCCTGTGCTTCAGCAAAGTGTTGCAGCAATGCCTAGTCTGCCGTCCCTTCACGTAGTTTGTGAAGGCTACGTTGGCATAGACGAAGAGAGTGGTGGTGGTGGTGGTGGTGTTGGGAGACGCAGACAACGACTGAGAACACCGCCAGTGGCCATATCACCACCATCCCCAGTAGGTTTAATCACCGGTGCTGCAGGTGAGTGCGGAAAATCGTGCGCCTGCGGGCCCTGCAGCACCATGCGATCCTTGCGCAGCTCGCGGTGATGCCGCCACTGCGGCCTCTCGGCTTTGTTCGACGAGGTAGCCTCAACGTACGCGGCGCGATGCTCGTCAGCGGCCTTTTGTTTTTGCCGGTACCTTTCCGCCTCCTCCTCCTGCTGCTCCACCATCTCGGCGCGGTGCGGCGCCACAACACCCAGCATTGCAGTGTGTATCGCCGCCAGATCATCTCTGCGCCGTTCGAATCCGTTCTCTGCGCGGTACTTCTGAATTTGCTCCGCGCGCCGTGCCGCTTTGGCTTCTATATCCTGCGCCAGCAATGCTGCGACGCGGTGTGGGCCACCGCGACTCGGTGGCGCAGGACCACTGCCTGGCGCGTCGCGGCCGCACGACAGCGCGTTCTTTGTCAATACGTACTGCACGGCAGTGTGAAACTCGGCTGTAAAGCCCTCCGCTGCTGTGAAAGGACAGCTGTGACGATCATAGATTACCTGTCGCGCAGGCTTTGGAAGGAGAGTACAGACATCTGCGCGACTGTCGTCGTCGCCGTCACACATTTTGGAAGCGTGCGCGCGCCTTCTATCGAGGATGTCCTGCCAGACATTCGTTACGTTCTCACTCCCCGGGAGGCGAAGAACCTCCATTGACGAGCGAAGAGGCCCAGGCAACGCGTCCATTTTACCACCACCAGTGTCACCGCCATTGTGCGCCTCATCACTCCGCAGAATTTTATCCAAGACGAGCTGTTCTGGTGTGTGCCCGGGCTCTCTTGAAGCCGGGGATATTCGTTCGTGCCGAGACACTGAGTCATCCGCGCTGGTTCTATTTCCCGTAGGAGTAAGGGAGCCGGATGCCGACACTACAGAAGCAGCATGCTCTGGCGACTCATTGCATTGAGATTGTGACCTATCTCGTTGGCTGGATCCACTACAGGTGCGGCGAAGGCGCAGCTCCAAGTGAAGTCGTGCACGCTGAAATTGCCGAATAGCAGTTTCATAGCTATCTGGCGTCACCCCATTTATCTCTATGATTTCATCGCCCCTCTGCAGACGCGCCGCCGACTCCAACGTGATCTCGCCCACACGCAATGGGAATGTGTTGCTGCACATCATAAACCCCCACGATGCCGTCATTTCGGGGCGGGCGAGCAGCACCGAGACTATTTTCGTCTCCGCCGTCACCCGGTCCCTCTTCCGCGCGCGGCGGCTGACTGGTGGTAGGGCCAGAGTGGAGGCTTCAACCGCCGGGTCGACGAACCCGTGTGAGGGAGCTTCTTCAGGAAGAGTATCTGTCATTTCCACTCCCACTTCCTCTCCCCTCACTCTTCTTCTCTCTGTCATCCTTTCTCCCTTCCCCTGGTACGTCTTCCGTCTTTTTACCGTTTCCCACTAATGTGTCTTTAGATATGCACAACTTCCGGAAACCTACGCCCCGCCACAGGCCCTTGAGAAGGTGCCAAAAGAAGAGAGAATAAGAGCAAAAAACAAAAACAACGGTAACAGTTCAGCTACCAAATAGACAACATAGGCTAGAAGCACATGGATGCGCTCATCTCACCCTACACGTCATTCTCTTTCAGTATGTTCGGGAGCTGTACAAAGAAATGCGTCATCATTCACTTAATTCTTCGTCCACGAGGGAATTTATGTGCGGGAGCCTCCCCCCCCCCCACTTTCGTTAATGTGTGAGATACCAGAGATTTCCCTTCCATAGCCGTGTACAAGAACCATTTCACTGCAGCAAACGCTCCGCACGCGTTAGGCATAATAAGTTACGCAGAATATCCCAATCTTTTATCACCGTGGCCGCGCTACAGCAGAAGCTCCACTCTGTTGATTGAGAAAAACCACAAGCGCCTTAACATCTGCGCCAAGACGACTCATAAGTGTAAGGTATATTACAACATACTGCTCCACTCTCTGCACCATGCCAAACCGCTGCCGCTTCATTGCCGCTACTACATCATACACCGTCGTATCATTCAGAGTCCCACGCTCCAGGTGCGTCAAGACGCCGTACGCACCAATCAGTGTACCTGTTCGCCCTATACCAGCACTACAGTGAACAACGATTGGTGCAGTGGTAGGGGACTCCTTCACAATAGACAGAAGCTTCTCAAACGCTGCAGCAGACTGTGGCACCCCGTGGTCTGGCCACCCGGTATACTGCACCTGTAGAATTTTGTGCGGCGGCTCATTCGGTCTACGAAGCACCAGATACCGTTGGGTTATGTTCAGCTCCTTATCGACTTTGTATGGCTTCTTGGTGTCTATTTCGAGCACCAACCCTGCAGCGCCCGGCACCTCAATAGGCGGCTCCCCTTCTTCCGGCCAGTAGCGGTCAGCCTTGATGATGCCACCCTCCTGCAGCTTCGTCACCATCATGACAAGCACGATCTTATTGTCGTACAACATGGACAAGAAATCCGAGATACCCTGCGCAACCGGCGCCTGGCAGGCCACGAAGGTGTGCGGGAGGCCGAGGTTTATGAGATTGCCGTTGATGTAGGGCGGCGGCGAGCCGTGCGCGTCGACGGCAGAGGGTGGGTAAATGGTGGCCTCGTTCGCCAATATGTCCAGATAGCGGTTCTTGTGCCTGTTCTTTAACGAGGTGGTGAAGTTGATGCTGCGTGGGTTCTCCTGCCGTTGCAGTTGCGCGAACTCGCGTCGCATGTGTTGATACTGCGCCTCTAACGGAAGCTTGACGATCGGCAGAACATCACCGCCGGACATTCCTCAGACGTGCGCGTCCCTCGCCTGTGCGCCACACGAAAGCGTTGACACAAAAAAAAAAAAGAACTATGCGTTGGCCAGAAAGGGCATCAAAAACCAAAAAAGAAAAAAAACGGAAGGGAAAAGGCAAAGAAAAAGGGAATGTAGCAGAAACATACAATCTATACTCCCCCACCATTCCCACAACACATACACCCACACCCATGGTGTAGCAGCAACCGGACGTGCGGCTCTCCCATTCCCCTCATCCTCCATCCATTAACTAAGTTAGTGTCTGACTGCGCCACACCGCGTCATTTATGCAAATCATTACCGACCGCCTGTCAGTCTGCAACAGCAGGCTCGTCCATCGGCGTATCAACGGCGATTCCCAGTCGCAGCTTCAGCCCCACAACGTCCTCGTGGTCGACCAGCAGCTGCATTCGTGTCCGTGCTCGAAGGGCGACGGAATAGAACACCCCACCGACAGCAGCAGGACTGACAATCTCCAGCAACACCGTGCCAATATCCATCGACTCCAGACGCGCCCGCAAAGCTTCATCCTCAATGTCGGTGAAGAGGACATCCTTCAATTTACCGCCCTTAAGGAGCTGCTCGACAAAACTCACCGGAACTCGTAGCAACCGTGGCGAATGTTGCATCAACTTGGCAAATAGCACAGCCGATTCACTTGCAATACGCCACCCACCGTCAAGGTTTTCATGGGCAAACACGCGAAGACCTGCAGACACCACGAGAAGTGAATCCGACTTCTGCTGCAGAACCTCTCGCGCCGTGCGAGACACAATGGAGCACGTTGAACTGACTGAAAGGTTCAATTCGCGCTGACCATTGGGGGTGCGCACGACTAGCTGCTGCGTCGGGAAACCTTTTATCTTATAGAAGCCCTCCACTGCATCCGTGATAGGCGCCGGTGCCGCAAGGAAAATGGGCGGAACCTTCTTGGTGGGAGTGATGCTTTCTGTTACTTCGGCTTCATCTCCCCCTTCAGTCCGCCTCCGCTTCTCCACCTCTGTGCCCCTCCTGTCGCTTGTGGTGCTAGCGGCATTGTTGTTGTCGCCATCAATCACTGCTAGTGTGCTCTCCTCACGTTTCTGCAGGCGGAACTCCGAAACCTTGTCCAGCACCGCAATAAAGAAGGCACCACCGTTGCAGTGCGACGGGAACAGCCGCATGCACAAGCGAAGGTCCAACGCATTCACTGCTTCCGACGTGTATGCTCCTGGCGTGTTCGGTGGGAAGAGGGCCTCGTGCGCCTCGCCACACGGCGCCTGCATGACATCCCCCTTGTGGTTCGTCACTTCCCACCGCTGGAGCCCGGGCGCGCACCTCAGCGCCGGTAGTAGGGCACGTGCATCGACAAGCTTCATTGCACCGCGGGTGCGGTGCACAATCTGCGCCACCACCGCCTCGTTTTCAATGGGGTTCATGGAGCACGTGCTGTACACCAGGCGGCCGCCCACCCGCAGCAGGTGACAGGCACGCATCGCGATTTGTATCTGTGTCTTCTGCAGGTTGATGGCCTCCCTCGGCGACCAGATCTTAAAGATATGTGGCGCCTTGCGGATGGTGCCGTCGCCGGAGCAAACAACGTCACAGAGAATCTTGTCGAAGCGCAGCTCTCCACCATCGCTTCCCGGCAGCAGCGGCGACGATGCTGGTGCTGATGATGATGATGATAGATTCACGACGGGAAAAAATCGTGCGTCGTGGTTTGTAAAGAGCGCGAAGGGGAAAAGAAGCCGAAGCCGCTTCACCTGGTGCACCAGCATGTTGGCCCGCTTTGTGTCAAGGTCATTGGCGATTACAAGTCCCTCGCTCTCATAGTCAAACGGGAACGGCGAGGCGTCGGAGTTGGCCGGCACAGCCTTGTGCCGCCCCAATGCGACAAGCATCTGCGCCGTCTTGGAGCCCGGCGAGGCGCACATGTCCAGGCACTTGTCCGTCGGCTGAATGTCCAGCAGGAACGGCGGCAGCATCGACACTTCCTCCTGTCGCGAGACGGTCCCCAATGCCGTCTGCTGTATGAGAAAACGCCGCAGCGCCTGCATCTCCGGCCGCTTGCGGAACTCCGTCTTGCCAGCGAGAATCCTCCACGCCATGCCGGTGATTGGGTACCACGGGATCGGCTCCACGAGTGTGCGGTCCAGCGCCTCAAAGTAGCGACGAACATCCCCCGCGAGTGGGTCCGTGTCGTTTATCCAAATTGTTGTTGGAAGCTGTTGGCGAAAGAGCGCCATTTCGGTGTCCCATTCTTCATGTGTGCGAAGTTGTTGGAGGTCACGGTAGTAGCGGTCCAGCGAAGGACAGGGAAGCTGCCGCATCGCATCCTGATGCTGCACGCCAACCCAGTTACCCTTCTCATCGTATGTTGTGCCAGACTTGAGCTCACGACGATTCTTCCCAAATGACTTGAGCTTCTTCTTTTTGGAAAGTTGCTCCTGTTGGTTTTGGCTCATCCCAACACAACAAAGAGTGGTGAAGACGTGACGGAGCTAGCACTCTGGACTATATCCCCCCCCCCCNAATACAAGACAAAATAAAAGGCAGGATTCAATACCACAAGGAAAGGAAGCAATGCAAAGAACATACAGGAACTGCATCAGCACCACTACTACCAGCACCAGTCACAAAACCACCAATGATACCGTATGCATGGAGTGAAACTATCCATAACGATATCCCTCCCAAATTGCATCTCGTCCTACCAGGTGCTCTCTATCAACGTGTGTGAAGGAATATATACATATCACCAGGCTACATCATCGTGGTAGAGACTCTCAGCTCCTTTTTCACTCCTGACGGAATGCATCCATCCTTTTTTCCCCCCTATGACCGCAATTTACTTCTGCTCTTCAGTGGCATCGAGTGGACGCTCGGGTGGACCAGAACGAAAGACGAGAAAGTGCATCTCATTTATTTTGAAGTTTATAAGAGTTTCAGCGTCATTCGTTACATTCGCACCAAAGTGTGATCCTACAATAACATGCCAGGTCCCCTTCTTCTCCTCGTCCAGCTTCTTTTTAAGTTTCGTTGCAGCATCCTTGTAGCTATATTCCGGCGGCATCTGGTCCAAGATCTGCTGCGCCATCTCCAGCACAGCGTCGGCGAAGGCCTGCGTGCCGTCGTGCCGCTCAATCTTGGTCAGCCGCTTCGGCCGTTCCACCACCACAACGTCCCGCGCATCCTGTTGGACGTCCTGGTAGTCATCATCCTCCATCGTTTACGCCTCGCAGATAATCACAAAGTTTTAAAAGAATTAACGCCCACCTCCCAGAATAACAGTAAGATATTCTGCCAGACAAGACCCGGCTCCTCCTCGACTACCTAGCTGAAAGGGTGACACGAGAGCAGAACCACGGAAGAATCAGGCAAAAAAACAACAACACAAAAAAACTATTTTTCAACATTCAAAAACAATACAGAAAACAAAAAAAGTTATGGGGAAGAGAAGAGTGGATGGTGGTCTCCGCTGTGCATGAATCGCCCCGGGCACCAGGCAGCCGGATGGGGCGGGATTAATACAGCGTCGCCGCAGTGTGGGCTCGGGGTCATTGCAGATCTTGGTTTTGCAGTCAATCGAATTCTCGTCACGTACACATTCAGGCAACGGAAAAATAGAATTGCTTTTGTAATCATACCGATGAACGGCTGCAGGGGGAGAGGGAGAGGGAGAGAGAGGAAGCAGCATGGTATAGATCAGGTATTCAATTATTGAAATGTGTTGTCAGGCATACGTGGTGCTCAGAGTCAGCGATCCATTTGTGTTTCATCATGTGCTGCTGCTGCTGCTGCAACTGAGGGCATGCATCTCCGAGAGTCCCTCAGCGTGAATTGCCGCTGGCCACAGACCGCGGGCGCGGCGGCACACACCGCGGGGAGATGAACGCAATGGTGCCGCACGTGCAGTGAGAGGAGTGTAGGGCGGGGAGTGCTGTTAGAGTGGAGTGATTTGTGTTGTCGTTTAATTCATCCGTCACTTCGTGTCAGAGACGTAGACGTTTCGCATTATAGAGGGAAATGAAGCGCTGCATTCACTGCTGCTGCTGCTGTATTCCTGCCTGGGAATCTGGCGCGTTCTGTATTTAAAGGGCGTTTGAAACCACGCACAGCAATGGGGTGTGCTCCTTTTAAAATCACTACAGGCAAGCCGTGTGGCTATCAGAGAAGAAATGGTGAAGGAAGAAGTCTCGGCTTCATGTGATGCAGTCAAGAATACCAGGAATGCGAAAAGAATACACAAAACTGCATGAGGGCCAACAACGAAGGCCAAACTCGTAGTGTGCAGGGACTCCATTCCATGTGTTAGTTCTCCTGCTCACTTTCAGTGCGCGCCAGCTTTTCCACAGGCGCCTCTTCACTCTTCTTCTCCTCCCGCTCTCGCTTCTCGCCGGAGCTGCAGCCCGTGCACCCACACACGGTGCACCCCTTTAAGTGCTTTATACGACGTCTCTCTGCTGGCACACGGCAGATACAAGTGCCCCCACGCTCATCATCGTCGTGACTGCGCCGCTCAGTCTTGTGACGGTTGGCGTGCTTGCTAACAAGTCGCGCCGCCGCACTCGCCGTGCCGGGGACACAGCAGGCCGTGCAGCACAGCCGTTCGTACCCGGGAAGCTTCCACCGCCGCACAAGTCCGGCATCAATAAAGTTCATCTCACAGCAGTAGCTCAGGACCTCGCTTGATATCGTCTTCTCACGATAGCATGCGTTGAACACATAGCGGGTGCGCTCGTGGTTGATGCGGGCGACACGCCAGAGCGGTGGTACAGGCTTTGCCGTCTGTTCCGAGTTACCTTCGTTCTCACAGTCCTCATGGCCACTCGCCTTTCCCTCCTTGCCAGCAGCAACCGAGGTGGCGCTTCTGCTCTTATTCGCGCTCCGCCCCGCTGCGGGGAGTTGAGCCTGCGACGGATCATCAGCGAGCGCAAGACGCATCTCTGCTTCGTACTCGTCGAGCTTGTCGTTGATTGCCTCAAAGCCCGGTGGTGGACGCCTCATGCCTGGCCGAATTTTGGGCATTGCGCAGCGCAAGCAAACAAATACAGCTTACAGCCCTCCCCCCTTCTTCTACGACAACACCCCTACAAACTGATAAAAAACAAATGCCACAGTGAAGAGAAGAGAAACAAAGTTTAATAGCCGGTACCAAAACCCACTTTTCCTTGGGCGTTGAGCAGCTGGTGTGCTTACCGGACCCATCCTTGTAGGCGGTCGATGCGCACTGGCCCCCAAGGGAGTGCGTCGAATAAAACCCGACGAAAGCAAATGATATTACTATCTTTTTTTCAAATGCACCTTGAAAACAATCACGGAAACACATATAATTACACACACACTCACTCTCTCTCCCTCATTTGTGAACGAGATCTACAGCACTATCAGCGACGTCCACAAGGAGTTATTTAGCAAGGCATTGAGCAAAAAAAAAAAGCACACATCAGAAGCCCTAGAAGCAGACAGAGAAATTAGTTTTACCCGCCTGCCCTCTAAGACAACTAACAGGGGGAGAGAACTGTGGTCACAAATAACCCAATAAACATGAAGCACACGAAAGAGTAAAGGGGGGTCGCAAATGGCACATATAGAGCCATGTTTCACTTTATATTTATCCACACCAGGGTGGACGCATCGATCAAAAAACCGACGCTACGCAATTAGAAGATCCGCCTCCATATAGGCATGTCAGCGGCACTCTCTGTCGGCTAGAAACTCAGAGAGCAACTATGGCTGCTGTGGTGAGGAACAGAAGCAAAAATGGAACCACAAAATCAGTAATAATGCTTTCATCGTTGATACCCTCCATTTCAACATTAAGAGCATGCAACTCAACACCCTGAAAAGCCTCCCTACGACGTTCCAGAAAGTCTCTTCTCCGCATGGTATCAGCAACGTCATCCTTGTGTGGAGATTTGGCTTGGTCTTTGGTAGTGAGGTCTCCGTAGGGTTTCACAGGGTCAATGGCATCAGTGCCGGCAGCAGCCTCACTGCCTTCGTTCGGTTGCGGAGCGCCACTGTCAATAGGTTCGTCCGGCTTCTGTGCGTCCGAACTGTTAATACCGCTCTTTCCCTCTGTTGACTCGTCATCAGTACTGCTCTCCTCCATTGCCGTCACAGCACCAGATGAATCACTGTTACTTCCCACCGTTTCATTGTTACCGGCATCACTGCTTTTCTTCGGCTCTTCAGAAACGGTATCAACGGCGGCACTCGACTCGGCATCCACAGCAGCCTCATCGATTCCTTCTTGACCTCCATCACCACGAATACCAACACTATCCTTCGGCTTTGTCTCGTCCAAATCAACGCGTTCCTCTTCTGTTGCTGCGGGTGGAATTGTAATGAGACTACTGCCGTTTGGAGCAATGGTGCACACTTCTGCATACTTTGGACAGACAATATAGCCGCCCGTGAATGTCCCTGTTGCTTGAAGCATGCTTCCTTCCTTGCAGACATGCAGCTGCGTGTTGCCAGCGTACCGCACCTTGACAATCCCGTTGTCGCACACCACCTCCGCGCACACATCGCCAACAGTCTTCACACCCTCTCGCAGAGAGACACCTTTTAGACACCAAGAAGAAGGGCCGGTGCGACTCCCGCGCACAGTGCTCTTTGTTTTGCCGCTACACAGGGAAACTTCATTTGGCACAATAATGGGGCAGTAGTCCATAAAGCCGCCACGACCACCAGCAAGGCGACGGTCCGCAAAGTATTGGTACTCCCACGCAACGTCTTGCGAGAACCTATACAATCCACACGTTCCCAGCGCCATACGGTCTGAAGTACAAACAAACTTTGGAGAACCTGCTGTGCAGAACATATCAGGATACTTCGTGTGACCGTCCTTGACGCACTTCTCCTCCAGGAATTCACAGCCGGCGTCCCTACCCCAACTCATCGGCTCCTCCATCCCCCAATTAGCGCGATAGTGACCCGTGTCTTCAAAAACAGCCATCGTCAGTGCGGTGTAATAGCCAGTGCTTACAATTGGGCTCATCAACTCGTCCCTTGCGTTACGCCGCTTCCAGTGCGACAGCTCCGTCCCATCACCACCGTTATCCTCCAGCTCCATACCAATGGCTCTTGTGCAGTTATAGTGTACTTTCGCCCACTCAGATACTTTTCTAGAGGACACCACGGACACCTTGCGCTTGCCTCGCACCAAGGGCAGCACAGTAACCATGTTGCGCCCCTTCAAAAAATCGATTTCAAAACCGAGTGCATGTGCCATCTCGTGTGCAGCGACGCGCGCCAGCACAGGGCCATCGTCAATTTTCTCTGGAGCAAAATACATGGCTCCAAGCGCCGGACGGCCTCCAGGGAGATGTGCACATACAGATGTCCACGCTACAGTGGTGCCACCGAGCGACGGGCCTGCAGCTGCGTACAACACCGTGTCGTACCCCTCAACACCAGGACTGTGGTGAGTTGAGGGAACAGTAAAGTGGAAACAAGGATTTTCAGCAGATAAAGCAGGAACTTTTAATAATTCAACCACAGGCAGCACAAGAAGGCGATCCGTGTGCAACTTCACGGCCACCGGGATAGTGCGGTCAAGCACCCTTTTCTTCTCCGGAGTCAGGACATGTACTCCGTAGCACACAGCATTACCGCCAATGAAGCTTGGACGATGCTGCCCTAAGGCAGTACAATACCTACGTTCATCCTCCAGGTCCAATGTCGACACGAGGATGCGAAGCGGTGCCCAGGCACCAGACGGAGACGCGGTGTACGCATGCCGAGCACCCTGACCCCTCCGCGGTACCTCACGCACCACTGTGACGCCCCGGTGAAGATGCCTCTTCTTCATCTTGTTTGACCCACACCGGTGCTCCCAGTGGCCGAGGCACCCGCAGGCGCAGCAGAGAAGCAGCAGCAGCAGCAGCAGTGGTGTGCATCGCGCGTGGAGCATTGAGGCGTATGTGTGCAGTGCGGCTTCTTGATCTTGCACAAACCAACCCAGAGTGTAACTGGCGTATTGCTACAGTGTAGAGGAAGAGGAAGACACATATAACAGGAACTGCAGCACCGCAGTATTATCCGAAGAGCACCAGTAGAGGACATTGCTTCCGTCAACCCCCACCCAGCGCACCGTTGCATGAGGGGGGCACAACGCAGAGTCAGCGAGTAAAGAAGAGGGACTGAGACACTGAGGTTAATGTGTGTTTGTATATATATATATATATATATGGGTGTGTGTATGTGGGAAGTCTCCGCTGTGCATGAATCGCCCCGGGCACCAGGCAGCCGGATGGGGCGGGATTAATACAGCGTCGCCGCAGTGTGGGCTCGGGGTCATTGCAGATCTTGGTTTTGCAGTCAATCGAATTCTCGTCACGTACACATTCAGGCAACGGAAAAATAGAATTGCTTTTGTAATCATACCGATGAACGGCTACAGGGGGAGAGGGAGAGGGAAATGCAGCAGGGCCACCGGCGCAGCAGCGACGCACACGGCGTGTATGGCCGAGCAGCCTTGCTGCACGGATGGGAGTCGAGAAGTGTGGCTCACCTGCGGTTTACGCCGCACAGAGGCACGGCATCTTGTCATCAATCTGTCTAGCAGCAGCAGCAGAAGAAAAATAGGCACAGAACACTGGCAAAAAAACATAGTGGACGCAGCACAAGTACGGGTCCCTTCCCCACTGCAGCATATCGAATACAACTATGAGTCCGTTACTAAAAATGAAATCAATGAATTCATCTTTTTTTTGGACACCCTCCGGGCCCCATCACACACACTTAGCGGCGGGTGTGTCTAAATCACCAACCGGAAACCCCCAAAACGTGTTGCTCAGCAAAGCCCCACAACTTTAATCATTAATGTGTTTGGAAATTAGGAGACGCTGCGCGCATTGCCGGTCTCGTAGCAAGATACTGGCCCAAATAGGGCTGTGTTTATAAAAATGACCTAATGTGAGGGAAAAGAAAATAACAGCGGTATGCAGTGCGACGGGAGCATCCACACAGCGACAAGTGGGCTCTGCTTATGTGTGCAGTTACCCACAACACGGCGACCGTAGTGAATGCTGAAAGAAATCCGTGAGCAGGATGCGGCACCGCACGCCGCCGCAAGGAACTTAGGGGACCATTACCGCTGAAGTGATACCAAACAGAAGCAGAAGTGGCAGCACGAGAACAGTGGAAGTACTGCTGTCCGAGGTGCCCCTCCTCCCACCAGGGATTTCTCCCACAACAAAGTCCTCAAAGGACACATTCTGGCCAACTGACATATCGATTAGCGGCGAGGCATGACCACCACTCTTTTCTTCCTCTTCGGTATGTCCAGTGCCACCCCCATCTACACTGCCATCGATGTTCTGCTTCGCATGCACATTGCCGGCACCGGCACTGGCACTGGTCGACTCTGGTGGATGGCCGGTGGAATCTCCATCACTCGATAATGCCTGTTCACTACCATCAGCGTCGGTCAGTCCCATTGCGTTCACAGTGGCAATGAGACCTTGGTTTTGTGTCGCAGCAACATCCACATCACTGCCATCGGCAACATTGGCTTTTTCGCTGTCAGTGGCACCGTCTCCCGCCTTCGAACTGCCGGTGCCTTCATCTTTTCTTGCCTTTCGGCGACTACTTTTGGTAATACGACTGCTGCCGTCAGGGGCGATGGTGCACACCTCATCGTACTCTGGGCACACGATAAAACCTTCTGTGAACGTCTTCGTTGGCTTGAGCTTGTTGCCCTCAGCGCACGGGTGCCAGTCATCGTCACCAGCGTACCGCACCTCCACAGTCCTGTTGTTGTGGCACCGCACCTGTGCACACACGTCGCCGGCGGGCTTCTTGTCCATCACCAAAGATTCCCCTCTCAGACACATTGAATCCACGCCGAAGCGGCTGGACGGCACCGTATTCTGATCACCAGTAGCACACCAGTATGCCTCCCCAGGCCGCAGAATTATTGGACAGTAGTCCATCAGCCAATCGTCTGGGCCACTCTTCAATTCATCGTTAAAGTACCTATACTGCGCCTCCACGGGGGCCGGATACTTTGTCACGTTACAAACTCCCAAGGAGAGACGGTCAGGCGTACAGAGCAGTAGTTTAGGATTCTCGTCGGTGCAGAACATATCAGGATACTTCGTGTGACCGTCCTTGACGCACTTCTCCTCCAGGAACTCACAGCCGGCGTCCCTACCCCAACTCATCGGCTCCTCCATCCCCCAATTAGCGCGATAGTGACCCGTGTCTTCAAAAACAGCCATCGTCAGTGCGGTGTAATAGCCAGTGCTTACAATTGGGCTCATCAACTCGTCCCTTGCGTTACGCCGCTCAAAGTGCATCACTGCTGTCCCCGTTTCACCCTCATCTTCCAGTTCAATGCCAATGGCTCTTGTGCAGTTGTAGTGCTCCTTTGCTTTTTCAACTGCCAAAGGAGACGTCAGTACCGTGACAGTTGCTTTCCCTCGCAGCTTGGACACAACGGTCAACATTGTGCGTCCATTAAACATGGTGTCGTGGAAACCGAGTGCGTGCGCTATCTCATGTGCGGCGATTCGCACAAAAGGCTGCTTCGCTGGAATGTGTTCAGGGGCAAACTTCATGACGGCCATTGCTGGGCGGCCATCGGGCCAACTCGCGCATGTCATTGCCCAGGCAGCGACAGTGTCGTTTGAAGACGGGCCTGTAGCTGCGTACAAAACCATGTCGTACCCGTCAATACCAGGCCTGCTGTGCGTCACCGGGACATAAAATTGGTGGCACGGCTCACCCTGTTTAAACCTTGGAACCCGAAGCCTAGAAGAACGCGGCTTCACAAGAAGGCGATCCGTGTGCAACTTCACGGCCGCTGGGATAGTGCGGTCAAGCACCCTTTTCTTCTCCGGGGTCAGGACATGCTTCTTCTCACAGAGAATCGTATCACCCTCATAATCGGGGCGCTTATCGCCCTCCCGAGTACAATGTTTCCACTTATTCTCCAGGTCCAATGTCGACACGAGGATGCGAAGCGGTGCCCAGGCACCAGACTGAGACGCGGTGTACGCATGCCGAGCACCCTGACCCCTCCGCGGTACCTCACGCACCACTGTGACGCCCCGGTGAAGA